TCAGACTGGCTTCTTCCACTCGGTGACATGCCTTTAAGTTCCTCCCTGTGCTCTCATGGCTCGACAGCTCATGTTTGTGTTTCAAACATGAATAATATTCCGTTGCTTGGGTGTACCACATTTATGTAAATTTACTTATCCGTTCTTTATAAGGGCATCTTGATTGCTTTCAAGTGTGGGCAATTGTGAGGGGCCTCTTGCGGGTGGCATTGCTTGTGGGCCCCTCCCCAGCCTTCTTACCGCCACACCTAACACACCTCCCAGCACACTGTCCCACTCACCCTACGGGGCGGGCCAAGGTTTCCGGAAACCAGATAGAAGACAGAGACTCGCTTGGGCAGAGTCCCAGACTGGAGGCTCCCTGCCCGCCGCCACCGTGGTCCCCTGGGGGGAAAGAGCGGCTTTGAAACCTGGAGAGTCCTGCAGAGAGGGGCCCCCACTCCTCCCCCAGCAACTGGCCTCCAGGCAGGAGTCTGCTTAAACCCTCTCACTCCTTAGGGGCAAATTATTTGCATTAATTAATTGGTTGATTCATTAATTCAAGACACTGTGCTCGGGACCTACAGCTGGGTTTCCATCGACTTTTTGTTCAGCTGACTCAACGGGCTCAGGGCGAAGAAAAGCAAGAGCAAATTGAGAGGTTTGGACATTTTAAATAATGTTAAGATCTGGCCCGTGTCCCTTTGACATGAGAACCACAACTCAGTGTTTGATGGTGTTGTCCTCCCGCTCAGGCTTTTCTGAAACAGACGCTGCGGTATGTATCAGTTATCCGTGGCTGTGTAACAAACCTCCCCGAACTTAGCAACTTCAAATAGCCTTTTCTTTCCTGCGGTTCCGCAGTTTGGACACGCCGGGCCAGGCTGTCCTGCTGGGCCCTCCGGGGCGGACTCGGGTGGGTGCAGCCATCGGAGGCTGCACTGGGGTGGAGGGTCTGACGCGGCCCCTGTTCACAGGTGCGGGAGTGGCGGCTACGCTGTCTCTCGCGGCCACATCTTTCTTGCCAGCTCTGTGCCGGGAGGGAGAGCACGGCAGCTGCCAGGCTTCTGAGGCCCAGGCTCGAGCGCTCACGTGACCCCCCTGTGCCGCAGTCTATTGGTGAGGCCCAGGCTCGAGCGCTCACGTGACACCCCTGTGCCACAGTCTATTGGTCAAAGCCCGGACCTCCCAGATTCAGGGCTGGGGACACAGACGCCACCCTTGATAAGACAAGCGGCAAAGCATTTGAGGCCATTTTCCATCTACAGCTGTTTCCGACGTTGCCTAGTTTACCGTGGTGGGAAAGGAACTGATTTTCTGTTCTGCCGTGATGTTGCCGACTTCTCCATTTCTGCTTCTGCATTTTGGCAATCCTCAGCGAATGGCAGAGACTAAGAAATGCTACATTTCCTAAAGTTGAACATCTACTTCTATCTAGAAGACATTTTTAACTTAAGAGAGTCTTGGGAGTTATTGCCTGAATAACCCATCCTTTTAATTTTAATGCATCACACATAATAATTTTATAAATAAGCCACATTATTTGTAGCATCTATGAATATTCTTAAAACCAAATTGCTTTACGCGTATTCAAAGAGAATCAAAAATTAAAACTGGACGTAATTCCATTTTCCCCAGAGTTTATTTCCTTTAAAATTTTCTTTCTATGACTTCAAAATTCCCGGACATCGTACATGTTCACTGCACGCGTGAGTGTGAGATGACCGTGTGCTCTGTGCCACGCCAGTGCCGGGGCTGCGGTGAGAAAGATGCGCCCGACCCATGGCAGCTGGTCTCGAGGGGGATCAGACAGTCCTACTGGACCACACGGGCGGGGTCTGCTAAGACCCACCCCAGAAAAGCAGAGCTGAGGCCTCCCTCAACCTGGCTCCAGTGTGAACCCCTGAAACCCAGCTGTAGGTCCCAAGCACAGTGTCTTGAATTAATGAATCAACCAATTAATTAATGCACATAATTTGCCCCTAAGGAGTGAGAGGGTTTAAGCAGACTCCTGCCCGGAGGCCAGTTGCTGGGGGAGGTGTGGGGGCCCCTCTCTGCAGGACTCTCCAGGTTTGAAAGCGGCTCTTTCCCCCCAGGGGACCACGGCGGCGGGCAGGGGGCCTCCTGTCTGGGACTCTGCCCAGGAGAGTCTCTGCCTTCTATCTGGTTTCCGGTAACCTTGGCCCGTCCCATAGGGTGAGCGGGACACGGTGTGCTGGGAGGTTTGGGGTCGGCCTGTGCTGGCGGAGGCGAGCGGAGTACGGGCTCCCGGCCACTGCGGCCCCGCCGTGCGGTGAGCGGATTGTGAAAGGCGGCATGAAGGGGGCGGTGGGCCGTCCCCAGACCTGCACTTGCCTTGTCTGGGGAGCGATGTTTCCACAGGGCAGTGCCGCCAGGGCCCACGTGGGAAGACTGGGCCAACCCCGGCCATTTGGAGCCTGGTTTGCCCACCTGCCCGTCTGCTGTCATTTTCCCCCGAGAGCCCAGGCGCCGCCGGCAGCGGAAGGACCTGGCTCTTGGACTTCCTTAGACAGGCCCGGTGCATTCCAGAAGCAGCAACGGGTTCTAAACAGGCCAGGCTTCTCTTTGAGGCCGTTCCAAGCTGAGAGGGGTGGTGCTCACGTCACCCAAAGGTGCTTCACTTAGAGACCTGGTGCCCATTTAAGGAAGAGCTGCCTCTGGGGCAGTTGCGTTTGACTTCTACCTCCCGAGCTCAAGCAGGAAGCGGGGTGAGGTCAGTGCCGCAGTATCTCTGCGGGGTGCTTGGGTTGGGGTCCAGAGCTGACTCTTGCTGTTACTCTGATTTTACCTAATGTTTAGCAGACGTCGCTAAACGTTACTCTTCAGTCTCAAGAGACAGGATGTAATCTGTGGTGTGGCCGAGTTGCTGCAGTAAAATATTTTGCAATCAAGAATGTAACAAATTCATGAATTTTTTAAAAAGCAGAATAAATGGGGTTTTATTGCTGAACTGCAGACTTAGATGCTGTAAAATATGCTGTTGAGAACATGGGCCCCAAAGTAGGTTCTAGTCTCAGCTCTACCACCTGCTAGCTGTGTGACCTTGGGCAAGTTGCTTAACCTCTCTGGGCCTCAGTTTTTTCTTCTGTACAAAAGGACTAATACCACTACTCATTTCGTACGATTTTTGTGAGGATAATATGCAGTAAAAGCACATGAGAAGTCCTTAACCCAGGGTCGGGCCCATATTAAGTGTTTTAGTATTATAAAAGCCCACTATTAGTATTAATAGTATTAATAATCCAAATGTTTACTTACTGAACCTTAAAATGAACCCATATTTTTTCAGGGCCTTAACAAACCAGTTTAAATCAAAGCAGGAGCCCTATACTATTTGAAATTGTCACAAAGCAGCTACCCTCAGTAAACCCCGAGGACCTGGCCCCCTGCCAAGCACTTTAGGGCCATTCCTTCTACACAAAGCCTTTTCTTATCGTCACTGTATTAATGAGTAAACAGGCTCAGAGAGGCTTGGTAACCTGCCCAAGGTCACACAGGAAGGACCCCCAGTCAGTGCGACCTCTTTGGTGACTATGACGACTTATTCCCTCTATGGAAGCAGGATGGAATTTGATCATGATGGTGCTTCCTCGTCCCCACTGAAATACACCTGTGCACAACTAGCAATGGGACGCGCGCTCACGCATCCGCAGGTGGCTATGCGGAGCCTGCACGCGCCAGGCACAGTCAGTGGTGTCTGTCCGTGCGTGTACGTGCCCTGTCCTCCCCTGGCCCGCGCGGGCAGGGAGGCGTGTGGCCATCACGCGACCTGCTCCCCCAGCCCCCCCTCCAGCTCGGACACCGGCCTGCGACTCCCAGACAGCAATGGCCTCCTGCAGACCCCACGCTGGGACGAGCCACAGCGGGTGTGCGCCCTGGAGCAGATCTGCGGCGTGTTCCGGGTGGACCTGGGCCACATGCGCTCCCTGCGCCTTTTCTTCAGGTGAGAAGCATCTCCTGGTGCTCCCTGGTTGGCCCACGTGCTCTTTTCCCGGCTGCCAGGGCTTGGCGTCCGGCCCTGTGCGTGGAGGCCAGGCCCCGGTTGGTTTGGCCAGTGGCAGTCTTTCTAAACGTCCGTCCGCTGCTTCCCCCATCGCTACCTCAGCAGGGTGTGCCCTGTGGCGACCCGGCAGGAGTCAGGCCAGGGTGAGCTACTCTGCCTTCAGGGCGGCGGTGGCCAGCTGTTGCTTGGAGCCCCAGCTCGGGAGAAGAAACCAAACCGGGGCTGCTGCCGAGAGTAGCAGCAACAGGCCGCCGTGACAGGCCGCTGCGACCCCCAAGGGGTGTGCTGTGGCTCGGCCACACGTGCTCAGGATGAGCCAGGGCTTTCTGGATGGAGCTCCCTTTCTGTCATAGCGAGTGGACGGTCCCTAGTGTCCCGCCGTCAGGGCAGCCCAGCCACAGACAGCACCTGCGAAAAGCCTGTGCTTGGCAGAAGCAGGTGCATCCAGAAACTTGGGGGCAGCGGGGGTCCCCAGACCCGGCCACGCTCCAGCCTCTCCTCTTAGGGCAGCCAAGTTTGGGCTGGCGGCGCTGACGGCTGTTTGGTGAGCTTCCTGGCAGGGTTCTCCCGGCCTGCCCCCACCCGCGATGGAGGAGAGCTGCTCCCGGGACGTTCTCTTAGCTCCCGCCCGCCTCACTGGGGCCCAAAACCAGACTCAGCCAACACGGACACCTGGCATCCACCCCCAGGTCTCCTGGACAGAAGGGATGATGTCGCAGGCAGGCAGTGGCGGGGAGAAGGCCGCGGGGGCAGGTTTCCAGAGAGGAGCTCCCGGCCTCCCACGGCTCCCCGGGAGGGGGCTGTTTTGCCTTCTTCGGGAAAGGAGGTGATAGTTTTTATGTGGGTGCAATTCTGTCCCCTCCAGCCTGTGGCCAAACGCCACTGGGACTTACTGTGTCCTGCCTCTGGGGTTGGTGAGGGCGGCTCTGGTTGTGCTGGGGAATAGAAACCCGTGTTTACATATTCATCGGGCCTCCTCTCCCCTCCCGCGGCCCTCAGCGACGAGGCCTGCACCAGCGGCCAGCTGGTGGTCGCCAGCCGCGAGAGCCAGTACAAGGTTTTCCACTTCCACCACGGAGGGCTGGACAAGCTGTCGGAGGTGTTCCAGCAGTGGAAGTACTGCGCCGAGACACACCTCAAAGACCAGGTAGCCCAGCGGGGTCCCCAGTGCTGCCCTGGGTGGGGGAGAGTCCCCCCCGGGACCCCAGGCTGCTGACACTCTCATCCCCACCGGGGGCTCAGCACCTCCCCAGCACGTCTCTCTCCTCCTGGGCCTTGGGGCTGGGGTCACCGTGTCCGAGGGCTCTCGGGGCGTGGCCTGCGGTGGCTTTCGATGGCCCGTGGTCACTGGGTGGCTGCAGGGCAGCACCTTTGGGTTTGAAACGTGTGCCCGGGGCTTGTTGTATAGTCAGTACTCTGCACTTGAAAAAATCATGTTTTGACAAGAACTTCCTGCCATATTTTGCTCAATCTACATACAAATGTAATAAGAGCTCTTTAATTATCTGTTTAAGATACTGTATGTGCTTATTAGGAACGGAGCTGACTTTAAAATTCCCTTCCTTCCCACAGAGCCTCCCGCCGGCTCCCCTTATTACAGTAGCGCGGCTTTTTTCCCCCTACATTGCACAACCTTTGATTTTTGAATTAAATGTCAGCTGCAGTTTTGCCCGGGATTCGTGACTGCTCGCGGAGACAATCTGACAGGCCGGCGCCCCGCTCGCAGAACAGCGATCCCTTTGTATGTGGCCAATCACATGTGATTTATTGCGGGCCCTCCCGGCAGAGGGAAGTTAGGCCATGAGAGGCATTAATTCCGTTTTTTGCGGCTGGGGTCGGAGGGAGAGCGGGGGCGGCTGTCGCAGTGGGCCGGGAGAAGGGCGCACCAAAGGGAAAGCGATGCTAAGATGAAGGTATTTTCATTTTAATTGCGCCTAATTACACTTGCCATTTAGGGGTTTGTATGCAGGGGGGACTGCCCTTCCCCTCCCTCTGGAAGAGAGAGAGGCTTTTAAATCCTGGGAAAAGCATCGCTGGCCTCCAGAGCCGTGCGTCGGAGATACTTACCTTTGCCCAGTTCTCCTCCTGTCTGGCAGGTTGCCCAAGAAAAGACGTGCATGCAGTTCTCCATCCGCCGCCCCAAACTGCCGTCGTCCGAGACGCACCCAGAGGAGAGCATGTACAAGAGGCTGGACGTCTCCGCCTGGCTGGGCCACCTCAACGAGCTGGGCCAGGTGGAGGAGGAATACAAGCTGCGGAAGGTGAGGCCCCACCGGGCCCAGCTGGCAGGGAAGGAGGGCTGCGCGGCCGCCGGACCGTACCCACGGGCCACCTCCCTGGGAGGGTCCCATTCCCTTGTGTGAGGCTGTGTGTGAACACATCGATAAAGCAATCAAAGCGACGGCGTTGAAAAACAGCCCTCCCGGCCGGGTTGGGGGGATACCGTGTCAGCCTGCACAGAAGCGTCTGCAGTGAAATGCGGCCTTTCCAAAACCAGGGATTAGGCCATGACGTGAGAACGACACGTTAATCGGAGCGCCACCCCGGGGGGGCATTGACATTGAAATGAGCCGGGTTTGTGTCCTGTATGGGAACTGAGGCCCGTGTTCCCCTTGTAAACATGTGCAAATTGCAGAGATGTGAATCGAGGCGCACCAAAGCCACCAAAACACATCTCTGGGGATTTGGGGGTTCTTTGAGCCGCCCTGTTTTATCCCCTCCCCAACTTTTGCCGCTTCCTCCAGGCCATTTTCTTTGGCGGCATTGATGTGTCAATCCGGGGGGAGGTCTGGCCCTTCCTGCTGCGCTATTACAGCCACGAGTCCACGTCGGAGGAGCGCGAGGCGCTGCGTGTGCAGAAGCGGAAGGAGTACTCCGAGATCCAGCAGAAAAGGTAACCGCGGGCGCGGCCCGCCCAGCCCTCCGAGCCGCGGAGGAAAGTGTCATTTGAAAAGGCAATTGGAGGTGCGATTCAGCGCTGATAATACGTTTCATGACCCGTAGTTTCTTTCGAAAATGGGCCTCCCAGGAGCGTGAGTGATAGGGTGGGTAAGTAAGTGCAGTCGCCATGCCGAGCGCTCGGGCCTCGCAACCGCGGGCTCGTTAGCTCACATGTCAAGGTTTTAGAATTCTTGTTCAAAAGACTCGACCAGGCGCCGACATCCCACAGCTGAAGGCTGGACTGGGAGGGGCTCCAGGGCGGAGGAATCGGGGTCAGGACCGCCCCTGCCCTGACCCACTTGGGCCTCACAGACCGGACTGCGGTCAGCTCTTCTCTCCGGGAGGCCAGAACTGGGTGAAGCCCCAGGTTACCCACAGGCTGTGCGCAGCCCCCTCCAGGACGCTGGGCCGGGGCCCAGGCCTCATTACCCGTCGGGCTGCAATCACCTCTCCCCTCTGGGACGCTGGGGCCAGCGAGGCTGGGTTAATTTGGGGGGAGCCTTGGACGAACACCAACCCCCCTCCCGTGTCAGGGGAGGGTCTGCCAGCTGCAGAAGCAGCCCGGTTCCCATGCAGGGAACAGGGCCTGGGGGGAGGCCCCTTCCCTGAGGGGGTGGCTCAGTGCCACCGTGTGTTGCTTGCTGACCGCCGGGCGGGGTGCCGTGCTCCACGCAGGCTCTCCATGGCGCCCGAGGAGCACAGGGCGTTCTGGCGCAATGTGCAGTTCACCGTGGACAAAGACGTGGTTCGGACGGATCGGAGCAACCAGTTCTTCCGAGGGGAAGGCAATCCGAACGTGGAAAGCATGAGGTACTCCGCTCCCGGGCCAGCACGTCCCCAGGCAGGCCCAGCCTCCCGTCCCTTCCCCGTCTGCATGTGCGCCCGCCTGGCCCGACCCCTCTGGGCAGTGGGCGAGCCTGGGGCAGGGTTCTGCAGGGCCCTCTCCCAAATTCACACAGTCGAGGCTCAGCATCTGGGCATGAGCTGTTCGTGGGGTACTGTGGTTGGCATCTCGTGGCCGTGGAAACCCGGGGCCAGGCCTGTAGCTACACAGGTCCTTCGTGGGGGGCCAGCAAGCCCCTCTACGCCCGGGCGCCCGCCAGCCTGTCCTTGCTTGGCTCCCACCGCCCTTGGAGGAGCCTCCCCGTGGGTGGTCTTCCAGCGATCCCGCCACTCAGAGCGGGGGGCTGGCATCTTCCACACTCTGCTGCAGCCTGGCAAGTAATTGCACAAAATTAGCAGCTCATAAAAACGTCCCTGCCAGTCCGCCTTGTGTCCCAGGCAGTCGACCCTTAAGAAAATCAGGCTGACACTGCTCCTGGCCCCCTGCTCCCGAGGCTCTGGGCCTGGCGCGCAGCTAATCGCAGGTCGCCACCTTTGCAAAGCGAGGGCCTGTGCGTCTGATCCCACACGTGGGCTCTCGGGCAGCCACAGAGCTGCCAGGAACCTGCTGTCCGACTGCCTCGCCCCCACCCAACCCCCGAGGTCAAGGCAGGTGGGGGCCGGGCAGCCAAAGTCTCCAGCCCAGGGCTCTGCGCCCGGGCGAGGCCAGCAGGGACGGAGGGTCATCACCATCCACCGCTGTCCCCCCGCCCCGCAGGAGGATCCTGCTCAACTACGCCGTGTACAACCCAGCCGTCGGCTACTCCCAGGGCATGTCGGACCTGGTGGCGCCCATCCTGGCCGAGGTCCTGGATGAATCTGACACCTTCTGGTGCTTTGTGGGTTTGATGCAGAACACGATTTTTGTCAGCTCTCCCCGGGACGAGGACATGGAGAAGCAGCTGGTGAGGCTGGGGTGGGGCATGTGCGTGTCTGAGGGCGCTGGGAGAGCCGGGGCCGCCCCCTCCTCTTGCTGGTGGGGTCTCGGTGGTGATGTGTGGCTTGGCTGCCGCAGGTCAGTAGGCAGCTTAGCCCTGGTCCCTAGGGGAGGGCCAGCCAGCTCCAGGAGGGGTGCTGTTCCCAGGTCTCTGGGGCGGCCCCCCCACCTCCATGCACAGGACGACCCAGCCCAGGCTCCCTGGCAGGGCCAGGAAGTGGAGGCCCCAGCGCCCCTGGACCTGTGCTTTATAACACAGGCGTCCAACGCAGCTACGGCTCCTGAGGCCCCAGGGCAGTTCTCACACCCAAGCCCGAGGACAGCTGGCCTTCCCTGGGGGGCCCAACTGGCACCCCTCCCTTCAAGGGCTCCCTTGAAGGATCAGCCCTCCGTAGACCAGGCGGCACTGTGTTGGGGGGACAAGCAAAGCTGGGTAAGACGGCGGGGGAGTGTGCGGCCCAGGGACCAAGCCAGGGCACCCCGTATCCCCTGTGTGTACCGTATCACCTGCCAGGTGCCGTCCCCAGGCACTGGGGCATGGTCTCACCCTCCGGGCTGGGAGGAAGCTGGGCCTGGGAGCTGGCAGTGTGTGCAGAGGATGTGGGCGCCGGACAGTGATGCGGAACGTGCCGTGACAGACAGCAGGGTCCCCGGGCTGGGGCGGGTCCACGGTGTGGGGTCTGGCCCTGCCTCGCCAAGGCTGGGCTGAGCAGAGTGTTCCGGGGGTGACACCGAGTGACCCCGTCTTGCTGGACCAGACCCGCCATGTGCAGCGAGGGCAGAGCTTCGCGAAGGGCTTGGAAGGCCAGAGCCAAGGAGAGTCCTTGAGACTAACCCTCAGGGCCGCGGAAGACTAGCCGGGGGTGCCTGCAGCAGAGAGGACTTGAGGGCGGGCGCCGGGGGTGCAGCTGGAAACTGGAGGCACCTTGGCAGGGGGGATTTGGGGGGGCGCCGCCTGCATGAGCCTGCCCTGGCTGCAGTGGGGCCAGTGGCCAGTCAGGAGGATCCTCACGGCCTCGGCCTACGAGGGCCGAGGGGCTCCAGCGGCCACCTCGAGCAGGAACGGCAGCGTGTGGCCACTGAGCCTCACCCCAAGATTCCCCCGAGGTGCCCCCAACTGTGATCTGGCCCCACCTGGGCCACGGGCTGACTGCAGCCTGCTCACTCTGTCATTCCGCGTCCGTGTGATGCCAGGCTTCCACGGTACCTGGGAGGCAATTACAGGGTCTGACGCCGTTCGCCCCGACAGGCTCACGGCCGCACGTGGCCGGCTGACTCATTAACTGCCGGAGACTGATTTTCCAGCGGCACTGGTGAAGTCAGCAGCCTGAGCCCGGGTGCTCTAGAAATAGCCCTGATCTTGTCCGACGTCACTGGGAGGTGACCTTCACCACAGGAATCGAGTGTCCTGGAGCTCAGACACATCCCCTTCCTGCCCTAAATCAGTCCTGGAAGAGGATGCATCTCATGGTCGGAGCAGAAGGGGCTGGGCCAGGGGTCCCCTGGATGACCTGCTCCCCTTCCCAGGCGGGCTGGGCTCTAGAAACAGCCCCGTGTGTCCGCTGGGCTGGGCGGCGGTCGCTCAGCTTCCCGGCCACACCAGGCTGTGATGCTCTCCGCTCTGCCCGGGGCCACCACACAGCCTCCAGAACAGGCTTAAATTGGGACAAACTGGCAGCGACGGGGGTAGCCAAATTCCAGTGGCAGAACGAAATAAGCGGGTGGCAGGCAAGCGCAGCGGGTGGGGGTCGCCTGCGTGCGCTTTTCCCGTGGGAGGGGCCCCGTGGGCGGGGCCTCCTGCGCCCGGTGGACGAGCCTGTGCGGGGCGGGGGCTGACGTGTCCCGGCCTCGCCCCCAGCTGTACCTGCGGGAGCTGCTGCGGCTGACGCACCTGCGCTTCTACCAGCACCTGGTCTCGCTGGGCGAGGACGGGCTACAGATGCTCTTCTGCCACCGCTGGCTCCTGCTGTGCTTCAAGCGGGAGTTCCCTGAGGCCGAGGCCCTGCGGATCTGGGAGGCCTGCTGGGCCCACTACCAGGTGAGCCGGGGTAGCCGGGACTGTAGCCCCTGAACAACCCTCACCTGCCTGTGCCCGGCCTTTGGGGAGGGCCTCGCCCCTGCCCACCCACGCCACGTGTAGCCCCTTATGCGCCACGGCTTCCAGCCCCACGTGGCTGGCTGCAGACCTCGCAGCTCGCCTCCCCAGTAACTGAAATCGATGCCGATTGCGCACCACCTGCGCTCACCACTGCCTTCTGGGGCTGAGCTCCTTCCTGTCACTGCCAGTCGGTGTGAGCAACACCGTCAGGGCCGGAGCAAAGCTAAGCAGCCCAGGACGCTGGTACCCACGAGCTAGAGCCATCGCTGTCTGTCCTCTTGAACCTGCCCAGCCACCGAGCTCCAGCTCACCATCACCCTCCTACACGGGGAAGGGGCCCGAAATCCTGCCTCCGCGTCAACCCCCCGGGAGAGCCAGGGACGGTGGTGCCGCCTTCCCTCGCCATCCTCTGTCATCAGTGTCTGCTCAACAAGTTCCCCTCAGAGCACAGCCCTGGCTCTGTCACATGGCTTCGCCGCCCCAATTAGGGACAAGCTGGCCATGTTAAAGGATAGGCAAGTCTCTGAATCCATCAGCCTTTTGAAAAAGGAGGATTGACGCATGCGGGAGGGAGGACCCTTCCTGCAAGAGCGCTCTGTGCCCCACCGCGGCGGCCCCACAGCCTCCAGCAGATGGACGTGAGCACCGCCAGCCGGCAGAAATTGGCATCAGCGTTTCCCGCCCGACTCTCGCGGGGGGATCATATCCGATGAGAGCGAGTCTGAAGAAACACGGCGCTGAGGCCACAGGCTGCCTGGAATCCACGTGTCCCGGCCGGGGTTGCGCAGAACGAAGCGAGGCGTTTCCCACCGGGGCTAACGTGCTCCACGCGGATGTTCAGGGCGAAACGCGGCGTGGATGGTCCAAAACGCTGGATCCGCCCCCAAAAATAAATAGATCGTGCCTCACTGCGTGTTTTCCCAGCAGCACATTCGCCACTGTCGTCCCGTGATTTTAGGCTAATGTTACAATGAACTGGGAGCACCCAAGGGGCGGGGCCATTTCTCCCGGTGATGTTCGCGGCTGTGCGCTGTGTCTTAATGAAACCTGGGGGAAGTTACAGGAGGGAGGCCCACGGGCCCCTCTCTGTTGGCTGCCGTTTTCATTAAAGCCACAGAACGAGTTTCCCTCATTTTCGGGCTTTGGGCTAAATGCAGCTGCATTTGGGCCCACGCCCTGGTCAGTGCAGTGGTATTCGGGCCGGGGGTGAGATGATGGTGGGGGGAGGATAGGTAGCCAGGAGTGAGCTCTGTGGAAGGACAGGTCACTGCCAGGCAATGCCTCTAACTTTCCAGTGACTGCTGAGTGAGCTGGCTCGATTCCACCTTCCTGCTGGTTTGCCGTGGGGCTGGCCTGCCCTGCACCTGGCCCTGGGCGCTGCGCGCAGCCCGCGCAGACTGCCCTGCCTCTCCCTCCCACACTCCCGTCCGAGGGAAGCTGGCGTCCACCTCCTGGAACTCCTCCCCGCATCTCACCCCAGCCAGGGTTCAAACTCCTGGAAAGGATCAGTCGGAGCCAAACAAGACCATTCCGGCTTCGTTCAGAGGAAGAGGCGGGCAGCCTGGGGGTGTCTCCCGGTGCAGGCTGGGGTGTGGGAGTAGCTACCTGTGACCTCTGCCCTCATCGTGGGCTCTGGGTTGGGGACGCAGTTCCTCCTGGTTTGGGTCGTCGACGTCAGGAGACCAAACACGGATTTCCTGGTGCTCTGCGTCCCTTCCCTGCTCGGGAAGCAAGTGTGTATTGAAGGCGCGTGCGTGCCTTGAGGCATCCGGGCAGGAGAACATCCAGGATGCGCAGGGTCAGGACTCGGTGTCAACTTCCTGCAGCTGCCGGGCATTGCTGGGCAGGCCTGTGGGGTGGCCTTCAAGGAGGACAGCAGAGTCCTCGATGGGCCTCCAAAGAGGGTGAAAGACAGCAGGATCCTTCCAGCCACCCTGCGGGGACTGCCGGGAGCTGCCGTGCCCCACTCTGTTAGCATGCTCCCACTTCTGCTGTTCTAGCGGCAAACCACAGAGTGGGGTCTGGGGCACGTTCTGCCTGGAGGCGGGAGGGCAGGCTGACCGGTGGGTGGCAGCCAGAGGCTCTTCCTTGGGGGCGTCTTCCACGACCCACCGGCGTGTGTTCTGACCCAGCCTTCTCTGCACACCGTCTCGAGACCTTCACAGATGACTCCGTGTGAGAGCAGACCAGTCTCCAGAGCGGGGGTGGTCTTTGCCCCCACCACGGAGCCCACCCACATTGCTTCCCAGAAGAGTCCCAGCAGCCCCTGTGTGCTCAGCTCACCTCATCCCCTCTGGATGTCACAGAGCCAGGGGATGTAGGAATGAGAATGGTCCCATTCGCAGGTGGGGAAACTGAGGACCAAAGAGGCTGGGCTCTGAACCCAGACACCTCGCCTTGGGGCCCTCATCCTGTACCTCTGCACTCAGTTTCCCTCTCGAGGCCAGGCCTGGGGCTTGACCAGAACTGTTATCTGAACTCCACTCCCCCGCCGCAGACAGACTACTTCCACCTCTTCATCTGCGTGGCCATCGTGGCCATCTACGGGGATGATGTCATCGAGCAGCAGCTGGCCACGGACCAGATGCTCCTGCACTTCGGAAACTTGGCCATGCACATGAACGGGGAGCTGGTTCTCAGGAAGGTGAGCCCCGCCCCCACACATAAGCCCCACCCCTGTATGCAGAGCCCCACCCCACCCACCCTGCTGCCTGGGAGCTCCTGGTCCAGGCACCTGTCACAGCCCCCTCTGGCTTGCTGGTGTCACTGCAGGGCTGTCCACACACTCCTCAGGGGCTCCATCGCTGATCAGCATCCAACACAGGAGCCTCCCTCTCCGGGGTGGAATGGACAAATTCCTGGGGCTGATAGACAGGTTCCCCACCTTTGTGGGGCAGCTTCTCACCCAAGGCTGGCTGGAACAGAGGGACCTGGGGCTTTTGCCACCTCCTTGGCTTCCCAGACTGCTCCTGGAGATGCTGCTAGTCAGAGCTCTCTGCCGGCTCTTAGGGGCAGGAGGAGGGGTCCTGGGGTCAGTGGTACCGCCTGCACAGGACGCCCAAAACAGCCTGCAGGGCCTGAAAGGTGGGCCCCAGAGCAGAGCTCCAGGGGCTGAGTCGGAAAGGGGTCTTGCCAAGGGGCCAGGCAGATGAGGGCCGCTTGGGTGCCTTCTTAACCTTGCGCCACACGTGAGCACTGCCCCGGGCCTCCTGGGGCCTGCCACTGCAGCCACGGGAGACCAGGGGTCCCGCGTGCTGGTGTTGATGGGACATGGCGGGCACAGCCCTGGGGCCTGAGCCTGGGACACAGCCCCCAGGTGTTGGCCGTGGCTGCTGTTGCTTTTGGACCCCTCCTGGGGGGGCCCCTGGCCGCCAGGCTGTCCCCCTTCTCCTCCTGACAGCCTATCTTCTCTCGTTGCAGGCGAGGAGTCTGCTCTATCAGTTCCGCCTGCTGCCAAGGATCCCCTGCAGCCTGCACGACCTGTGCAAGCTGTGCGGGACGGGCATGTGGGACAGCGGGTGCATGCCTGCCGTGGAGTGCACCGGCCACGCCGGCTCGGAGCGCTGTCCCTACGGGGGCACAGTGCAGACGCCTTCGCCCAAGCCCCCAAGAGACGGCAAGAAGGGCCCAAAGGCGCCTCGGGAGGGCTTCGGCTTCCGCAGATAGGGTGGGCTCGCGCGCCATGCATGGGTTGAGGGGCCCTCACTAGAGGTCCTGGGCGTGAGAGGGGGTGGGGCTGGGCGTGGAGGGGACAGAGACGGTAGAAACGAGAGGAGATGCCTTTGGGCAACATGAAGGGAGACGTTGCACATTAACGACAAGTCAGAGTCCGGAAGGGACAGCAGTAAGGCCAACCAGCCACCCCGCAAGCCAGCTCGGGAATGCTGGACAGGATGCATGGCCACCCCCGAGACGCAGGCTGGCCAGGCGCTCTTGCTGGCTGCCTCTGGAGGATTTCAGCACGTCCCAGGAGTTCCTCCTGCTTCGTTGGCAACCTCATGGCGCTGCTGGGCGCTGAGAAGAGCAGAGACGGGAGCAAAAGGCCTTATTCACCCACCAACTCCGAGGGCTGCAGAGCAGGGGGCTCCTGTCCAGGCCCAGAGACATGTTTGCAAGCCAGACACGCTTCCTCGTCAGACCCGTCCCCTTCAAGTGAGCCAAACACGCCCCACAGCTTGCCCGGCCACAGCTGTGACACTGATATGAAGACGTCCGCCCAAAACACAGGAAAAAAGCCCAGCTGATTTCAGGATAGAGGAGGGTGGGGCTTTTCACACCGTCCACGTAAACATGTCACACCCGTGGTATGTGGAGGAAACCGCCTGCCGCAAGGCTGGCCCCGGCTGTTGGAGAAGAGTCGGATTCCTTTCCCGTGGCTGAGGGTCTTCTGCATGGGGCTCCGTGGCATGGTTTAACGTCAACCCCACCGAATACAGCAACCAACTGGGGGCTGAATGGGTCGAGGTGTGTGTGCGTGTCTGTGTGCATGTGTGCGTGCGCGCGTGTGTGTGTGCGTGCATGTCTGTGTGTGTGTGTATGTGTGTGTGCAAGGTCCTCTGAGGAGAACCGGCTCTGTCCCAGGAAGTGCTAGTGTATCACCTGACCAACCCGGACCAAGGCACATGGAAATAGTTAGAAAGACTCCCACTTTCCTGCAGTCTCTGCTGTGAACACAGGTCTTCTAGAAGTCAGCCCACCAGGCGGTCAGACACAAGAGCGACCCCGGTAAAGTAGCCAGCACTCAGGGAACGAGGTCTTCCCGGCACACTCTCCCGCCTCCGGAAGACCATGTGTCAGTAGCTCCCTCTGGGACTCAGAGACGTGTGAGCCATGGTGTGAGGGCGCCCAGCCAGCTTACCAGTGTCCCAGCCAATTGCACCGAAAGCCACTTCTTAGCCTGGTGGCAGCAAGGAGACTCGAGTCCCTCCTTGAACCCTCCAGCGCATCCTTCTGGGGAGAAGTCCTTGCCGTGCCGCGAGTCGTCTCGGGGCAGAGAGCGAGGGCTTCCTCCCGCTCGCAGCCCTTCTCGCCGCAGGCTGGCGCTGCGGGACAGTGCCACTCGGGAAAGACGTTTCCCAGCTGGGAAGGGCAGGGTATCAGGTGCCAGCCGCCTCCTGCTCAGCTTGCCTTTTCTCCAGGAACCCACAGTCTCTGGCAGACGCTTCCATGTCCGTGGGTCCCTCTGTCCGAGAGCCTCTGGGGACACCATCCTGGGTCCCCATCAGTGCCCAGGCCCTGGGGTTCTGACCCTTACTGTCCAGCAGTGGGGCATGGAGGTGGCCGCGGGAGTGGCCTGCTCTGCCACTTTGTGCCTGGGAGAGAGCACTGCCTTTCTGTGTGGCTCCTGACCCTGCTCCAGGAACCACACCCCCCGAGCAGGTCTGTCAGTTGTTCACTGCCACACTGCTGTGGCTGTAGGACAAACAACCGAAACTCAATGGACTAAAACAAGCTGCGTCTGCCTGGCACAGGAGCCTGCAGATCAGCGGTCTGGGCTGGGCGGTTCCAGTCTGGGTGGGCCTTGCTCTCCCCTGTCTGGGGCCAACCGGCTGTAAGTCCCAGGGGTGCTGCAGGTGCGGAGGTGGACGCTGACGCTGCTCTCTGTGTCCCTGCATCCCCCCTGCAGGCTGGCCCTGGCGGAGGCGCACAGGCAGAAGTGGGCAAGTGCCTGTCCGAGCCTTGGCGGGCACCACGCCTGCCGCCAAAGCAAGCCACGTGGCCAGACCCAGCACTGAGGGTTGGGTCCCCTCTGCGCAGTCACTTGGCAAAAGGCTGAGGATTTGGAGGGGCAAGGACCATTGTTATAGTCAGTCTGCCACCACCGGAGGTCGTGGTCCAAACAACGCCGTGCCGGAACACTCCCTCCTCGGGGAGAAACAGGGCGCCCCTCGCCTCCCCAGCGGGCAGCATCCCTTATTTTTGTTTTCGTTTGGTTAGGATTTTTGTCAGGTGTTTTTGTTTGTTTTTTTGGGACAGGGTCTTGCTCTGTCGCCAAGGCTGAAGTGCAGTGGTGGCATCATAGCTTACTGCAGCCTCACACTCCTGGGCTCAAGCGATCCTCCTGCCTTAGCCTCCTGAGTAGCTGAGACTACAGGCGCCGCCACCACGCCCAGCTAATTTTTTAAAAAAATTTTTGTAGAGATGGGGTCTCACTATGTTGCTCAGGCTGGTCTCAAACTCCTGGGCTGAAGGGATCCTTCCGCCTTGGCCTCCCAAAGTGCTGGGGTCACAGGTGGGAGCCACCGTGCCCAGTCCCTTCCTGTGTTTTACTAGATGCCTTGTGCCTTCGGGCTGCTGTGTTTGGGGGAGGGGGGTGCAAGCCCAGGGGGCACTCACTCTGGAGGGTCCTGGGTGGGAGGCATTCCTTCTGGACTCCCAGCTCCCACGTTCCTCACCCCCAGGAGCCCCCCAGACCGACCAGCCGCACCTTCCCTGCCAAATGCACCCCCAGTCAGTGCACCTGCCTCACACTCCCCGTGGGCCGGCCCGGGCCCTGGTGAGATCTGCACCTCTCAGACCAGCCAGGACCTTGGGCGCGCAGACCGGGCGTGCAGAGCACGGCCGAGGAAACACTGCTCTGGCGGGATGGAGAAACCCGCCACCCGTACACCTCCCCTAATCTGGATGCAATTAGAGGAAACCAGCCAAAACCCTGCGGCAGCTGTTGCCCCGGGATTATTTCCAGCTAGCAAAAGGCATTAGGGTGATAATTCAGTCATTAGACTTCGAGCCTTCCCACCGCCAGGACGCGCAAACGGGGGTAATCAGCCCGCACGGCCATCCTCAGCAACGCAGCTTATTTAACCCATTTTTTAAAATGACACTTAATGTTATTGGCCGGCGTACGTGTGCGCGCATACTTAGAAGTTGACGTGCGGTCCAGCCACCCTGCTAGTCTCTGTGCTGACAGTGCCACACAGCGTCACTCGGGTCCCTGGGGACAGAGGTGCCTTTGATGGGGGTGCGCTGGCACCGAGGGGTGGCGTGGTTGGGCTGGACGCTTGTGGGGGGGCCCAGCACTCGCCTCCCAGGACCCCCGCTGGGGAGATGGTGGCACTGGGGACAGGTGAGCACTCAGTGATCTGGGCTGGAAGGAGCCTGGTGTCCTCGCCAGGGTGCAGAGGGAAATGGCATGCTATTCCGGACTCAAGTCCCAGCCAGGGAGACTCAGAACTCACAAGTCGTTGGCTGACTAGACGGGGAGGGCCCCAGCCCCGCTTTGTGAGGAGGAGGGTCTGCAGTGGGGCGGCAGCTCCGTGAGCAGCCTTGGGCGTGGACGCCATCGGCAGACAGTGCCACAAATCCAGGCGGGAGAGGACCTTGACCCCTTGTCCTGTGTCACCCGTGGCAGCCCAGGCTGAAGCCTTGTGGGGAGTGACAGGGCAGCTGGACAGGATGAGGGAGCTGGTTCTGAAACGGGCTTTCCCTCAGGCTAAGGGGCAGCGGCGGGCAGAGGGCGCCTGGCTCTGGCCTTTCACGGGCAGCCGCTGGGCAGGGAGGTGGGGCGCAGCAGGAAATGGGGTGGGCGCTCAGTTCCTGAAAAGCCCCGCTGAGCTCCCTTGTCTGCTTCTTGTTTGGCAGAAATAACCCGGAGGGGGGCAGCCCCAAGGGTGATGGGAATCCACTCACAACTGCGCCCTCCTGTCCAGCCTCCCCTTGCCCTGCCGGGAGCCTGGGGGTGTCGGGGCTCACTGGGCAGAAGCACCTTCCCGTACGTCTGTCCAACGGGCCCCTGTAGGCCGCCCTGCCTGGGAGGAAGGAGGAGGGGTCCCTTGGGAACACGTGCAGGGTGCTGCCGGAGCCAGGGTGCCAGCACTGGCCTGGCCCGTCCCTAGAGTCCTGGGGAATCGGACAGCCCCGATCCAGTTAGCCCCGTGTTTCTAAGCCGGGCTGCAAGGCCACCTCGCTGTGAAAGCCCTGTCCTCAAGGTTGGGGACCTGCTCTCCTGCTGCCCCTGCCCTCCCCAGGCGTGTGGCCTTCTGCCTTTCCCAGCCTCGGTTTCCTCATCTGTAAAGTGAGACTCGTGATACCCACCTGGGCTGCTGCTCTGGGGCTGTTCGTGTGAAAGCTGCCTTGACGCTGTTTCCCAAGTCCCAGAGACTCACCCGCCACTCAGGGAAGAGGCTGCTGACCTTAGCCTTCGGCGGCGTGTGCTGCGAGAGACAGCGCGCTCCCGGTCGAAGAGCAACCCCCAGTTTGGAGTCAGCAAGTCCACGCGCTCCCTTCCACTTAGCTGTGTGTCCTCGCCAGCGGCGAACCTCTCTGTGCCTCCTGTAAAATTCACTCCGTGCCACCCGCTCCTGCCTTGAAGAAGCAGCCGTGAAACACGTCCTCAGCCACCCTGCGGCTCCGTGTGTGCGTGTGCGCGTGAGAGCTCTCCAGGCCCGCCTCGGCTACGAAGACCCTTGAATGAAGGGGCTCCTCCGGCCTCCCGGGTCTGAGTGGGGGTGGGGTGGGGCGGCCTGGGCAGAGCCAGGAGACACGAACAGCCTGCAGACGTCCAGCCTTTTAAATACATCGCGTTAATTTCCAAGTAGCAAGGTAGCATTTCAAGTTCAAAGAGAGACCCAGCACTTTTGGGGGGAGGAGGACAGTTTTCTGTTGTTGTTGTAGTTCAGTGGAAGATGCCATGGAAGTTCCAGCATGACCAGGAGGTGACTGATGTCTACGGCAGCGATTTGTTCTCTGTGTCGTTTTGTTTTGTTGTTTAAATACAGTCGCCCACTGGTCAGGCCCAGGACTGGCCACCGAGACCCCGCTAGCCATGGCCCCAACAATGCTTCCGGCTCTCTTGGATCCCACTGCAGAGTAAATAAAACCGTTCTGACAACAAACGGATGCTGCGTAGCACCTCTAGAAGGTTCCATGGGATTTGCTAGGTCAGGATGTGGCGGGTTCTGGTGCCTCGCAGAGAGGGCTGGCGGAAGAGCAGAGACACCCAGCCTGCCCGGGATGGGGGAGGGGGAGCGAAAGGGAGCTGTGTGGGGGCCGAGGGGACCAGGGGCTGGAGGGGCTGGCCAGGGGCACAGCAGCGCCCGCACTGGGATGGCCCCTGGCCTGCAGGGAGACAGGAAGAAGGGCTGCTCTGGGAGAGGTGGTGGGAGAATTTGGGAAATGGGAAAGGGCCCGTTAACCCCTGAGCCACTGGGAGCCCGAGCCCCGAGCCGGCCCCAGCGCCTGAAAACACAAACAGTATTTCACTGGGCCTTAGCTGCCCGGGCTCCGGTTTCAGGAAAAGCCTGATTCTTGCATTTGTGGACTTTTTAAAGGAGGCCAACAAGGTGAATTTGACCTTGTCAGGGGTGGGAGTTAAAGGGAAAATTCACGCATCAGCCTCTGGCGTCCAGG